TTACAGGAGTGAAAGAGAAGAACGAGAGGAAGAGAGGAGTGTATGAAGGAGGGATGATGGAGGAGGGAGATTTTGGGGTTGGCGGGGGGGGGGGGCTGGGTTTATGGTTTTTAAATTAATCTCTTTATGAAAACATTAAAACCTTTTTTGTGGTGAGAGATTTTTGCATTTATCCGAGAGCAGACAGACATGAAGTGAGAAGAGAGAGATGGATGAATGACTCAATCACTCATCTGTATATTGTCTGTGCATTGCTTAAGCACAAACGAGGAGGTAAAAGTGCTTGTTAATCTGTGCTCATAATCCAGAGTTTTAAACCCCAACCCTCACACAGGAGCAAAGATCAGTCTTCAAACTTAAAAAGATATAAAGATTATGTGACATTCATCACGATGATTGCATGAACTGATTAAAAAAATATCTGTCTCGATAAAATATTCTGACTTGTTAAAATAATGCAAAACACAGTGCCGCAAACTGATTATTTAATCACGCCTTAAGCCCCGGGGCCATCAGGACACCTCCTATCAACATATTTAATTTTTGAGTGTGCAGACAGAGAGCCGTAATTGCCCTTTGTCAAATACAAGCAGGTTTCTAGTCTCATATGAGACAATAAATACAGTCTCATAAGCATAACATTCAAAATGCATAATTGTTTTTTCCAAAGGCAGGAAAGATTAAAAATGATTTCTCTGCTCCAGGATTTGTCTTATGCCTGGTGAAAACACTGTGAAGAGTGGTGCGTCTGGCTGAGTGGAGCCAGCAGAGATGGGAGCCAACACCAGCCAGGTCAGTGAGTTGTCCGATAACCCAAGCCTCAAGGCCCTGGTGGGCACAGAGTCCATATCGGAGAATGACCCGTTCTGGAACCAGCTCATCTCCTTCACCTTCATCAGTCCCACCAGCAGGTAAGGTGCAATGCTCTCAGACAGCCCCACTATTAGACATCCTCCTTTCTACAGTCAGGGTTCAGCTGAAGAGCATTTAGCAACGAGTGGAGTCACAATCTATGCTGCTTTGCATGTTTCAGTTGGTTTATTTTTTAGTTAAATAAGTCAAATTAGTTGGCTGTATTGTTGATGTACTCGATAAAGCTGTCCCCTAGGGAAGTATCCATACTGAAATTTAATGAAAATGTATAGATGACAAGTTTGTGTAAACATAGACACTTATCCAATAAACCAGTTGATATGTTACAAACCAATATGTAGTACATCCTATCATGTGTCTGCACATCTCATTCTGACCTGCACAAGGATTTTCCTGACTTATCTCTGCAGACCTACAACTGTTGCAAATGACCAAAAATTTGAATACTATTAGGACTTGACTGTATTGCAGTTTTATCGAATGACAGATATTTCAAACTTTTACCCCGATTACGATGAATGAATTAACAGACATAAGCAAGATTAAGTCGGTTTCAGATATCAGTTTCGATACATTTTCAGTTAATTGCAGTAGATGCCAGTAGGGGGCAGATGATCTGGTCCAGTTCACTTGCATATTTTTAAAGCATGCTCTAATTTTCTCTCTTCTTACTTTTTGTTAACAGTGGAGACTCTAAGTTGCTGGAAGAGGCTGTCATCCCCCTGGCAAAGATCTTTAGTATGTTGGCTATAATATGAATCTCCTTTTTAAATGATACATTCAAAATATGTTTCATATGGTGGTTCCATAGCTTATGTAATGCTTGTTGATAAGTTGTCTTCCCCTGTTTTTTTTCCAAGTTGAAAACAATCCCAGAACAGGCAACTTTGGCGCGCTCGTGAGAATTTTCCTTGGAAGAACCAAAGAGCTGAAAATCTCGACAGAATGCCAAGAGTGAGTATGGGAACCTGAGAGAAGGGAGCGAAGTCAGATGACTGTGTTGATAATAATAGACCCTTAACATGCCAGTTAATGTTTGAACACAGGCAGGGAGGGAATCCCTGTTTTTCCTAAGCAGAGAAAAGCTGAAACGGTTGAAGTTTCCCATGAGAAAACTGTTGAGGTATAACCATCAGCACATGTGGCATTATTCTCCACATGCTGCCAAACTCAATTTCCTCAGAGTTTGACCCTGCCCATGTCACCAAAGGCTTGTGGTGGGAAATCTCTATTGAACATCATTAGAGGTTTGGAGTTATCGCTCCCCAGCCGCTCCTATCAATTTTTCCCCATGTTTCATAACACGTTTTGTCCCAGAAACAAACCTACATTTCCTGGATGTAACATAATTGCCATGTGCAAATCATCAATTTGTGGAAGTGATTACACACCCCTGTGTTGGTTGTTTAGTGGTTGTGAAACATTGTGGCTTCCACTGGATGGTTCTAATCATTTTCTTTTTCCCCTCTACGTTTGTTCTCACCAACCTTTCCCTAATTTTGGATCTGTCCCATGTGAGGTATCATTAAGGCAGTATCATTATAAACTTTGGTGACTGTTAACTGTTTGCACCTCTTTCGTTTGTCAGTGAAGGTTGTGTTTCAGTTACAAGAAAGTCATGGTTGTTTGTTGGGTTTAACGAGAACAATCTGACCTGAACTTATATGTTGCAGAAGAAGCAGGCGACTTCTTACTACCTTTAACTTTTAGTGAAGTTAAAAGTGGTATAATCACTTGAGAAGTGTCCCCACTTCGACTCTCATACAGAACAAAGTATGGTGTGCTGGCTACAATGTTAAATCCTGATGGTTTATTAACTAGCATGAGATTATCTCCTTCCTTGTTCCTGTCCCTGGAGGCCAGAGCTTAAAACAAAATACCACTGTCAGAGCAGTCAGAGTCCAGTTTCATTAGGCAAATTTCCCAAGGACTTAATCCCAGTCTCTTTTTATCAGTGTATACTGTACAACACTAAAGCTGGGCTCTCACTACTGGAATTTCCAGAATCGGAGGAGAAATCTGGTCTGGAACCTTGGACCGCTGCCTCAATAATGATCAATATCAATATTCTTGATATTTAGCAATTTTAAATCAGGATGATTATTTTAGCACTTTCAGAGGAACCACAACAGCCTATGAGACAGACCGAGAACGGAGCTGCTGACGATGCTGCCAAGCAATGGGAAACATTCCGAGGCTAACATCAACTAGCACACTATTGTTGACAGATTTTAAAAATGATAGTTACAATTTCACCAGAAGAATAGATAATGTGTGTTGACTTGATCTCCGACCATTTCCTCATCCAGACTCATTGGAGCAAGTGGTCGTTCCACGCCACCCTCCATTTGTTCATATCTGTTTCCCAATGAGGTCAGATGAGAGATGTGAGGTGGTGCGGAACTGCCTCTGGAGCAATAACCTTAAAAAAGTCCTATATTGTATGATGCACCATTATTTTCTTATCTGCTAAAGTTTAAGATTCTAGAGAAGAAAATCTGTAATGATTCATCTTATGTTCGTGATGCAACTTGATTTCAAAATTCAAAATAGTTTTTAAAACTCCTGTATTCTGAGCGAAGCTCAAGATGACTTTATATAACAGTTTACATTCGAACCAACATATTCCTAAAGAACATACTTGGTCAGCCAAGCTTCCATTTGCAAAGAAAGGCCATAAATCAATACCCCTGCAAATCCATCCTGCATGTCTCTATTCCTGTCACAGTCCTATATTTGACCTTCACTGATGTGATGTTCTTGTTTTGTGTCTCTTCTACAGTCAGCTATTTATCTGGCAGGCCCACAACGCACTGTTCATGATCCGTTGCCTGCTCAAGGTGTTCATCAGGGAGATGAGTGAAGAAGAGCTGCACCTACAGTTCTCCTACCAGGAGAGGGCACTAGGCTCCTGTGGAGGTGAGCTTCACACACATTGTTAATTGAAGGGTCACTCTGCATAAAGAAGTCTGCTTCAAAGTGAACATCTTTCATTTTTTTTCACTGATGATATGGCAAACAGGAGATGTAAAAAGAAAGTGCTTCAAATCAAGTCAGCTGAGAAATCTTCTAAAAAAGTATTTGACTCACATTAGACTCATGAGGTGTAAGTTATTAAAATGTACTCACAAGGGTCACATGTGGAACACTTCCCTTCATACCTAAAGAGAGATAAGAAATTGACTTTTTAATTGCGCACCAGTGCCCCTGGCTACTGACCTGGATCAGCTGTCTCTGTGCAACATTTTTGAACATCATATTCTTTGGCCTTACACATTAAGCCTGAGCTAGGTCCCTAATTAAACAGTCATTTGCAGCTCTCTGCAAACTCTTGGTTAGCTTGTGTTGGATAATTGTTATGAAAATATGTGTGAATTGACACAAAGCTAATTTCAATTTACTGAAAGTGGCAAAAATAAGATTAACAGAGTAACAGCAAGTCTCAAAAACATCTTAAAAACTTTGAAAACCATTTTATAAACTGTATCATTCCAGTGAGCTTTCTCTCAATGCCCTTCATCTGCACAGTGATCATGAAATGGGGACTGATGGAGAGAGGGATTTGTACAGTGAGCGTTGGAAGGAGCGTAAAGAGAGACTGATTACTGTATAGCTGTTTTCAGACACAAGAAAATTGGGTCAGGACTTTTTTCTGGGTTGAGCATGACGGGGTAAGACATAACATATACATTCTGCAGTGGAAAGCAGAATGGATAAATTGTCTTTCCAAGTTGACGTTGTCTGTACAATTCACTAGGAAGCAGTTCCAGAACATATCCAGAGCAACTTGCTCAGACATTTGCATTCTCACATACAGGCCGTCTGAAACATATCTGCAGTGCATGTCTGTAAGCAGCTTGTGTCTCATGTAATAACTCCCTCATCCCTTTGTGTAGAAACAGGTAGTGAGGACCTCCTTGAGGAATTGTTGTCCAACCTTGTTCACTTGATCGTTGAAGTCCCCCTGCTGTAAGTACCCCCCTTATTTGTGTTTTTATACTGCATTTATGTCTGTTTTGCACACACATAAAATGTCATATTTACACTGCCCACACAGTGATTTGATAATGTCTTAGTTGTTTGATATTACTCTATTAACATAATAGCCAAATAAAAACTTCTCAGCTCATCTTCTGGTTCAGTCCCTTGTTTTTATTATTGTTTGTTCGTTGTCAGTGTATCCAGGATGTTAGTCATTGAAACAGTTAATGAAAAGCAGTTTTTGCGTTTTATTTGTGTGCTCTGACTTCTGCTCATCCGCTCCTTGGTTCCCTAACCAAGAAAAGATGAAATCCATTATGGAACATGCCAGACTAACATGCTGAAACTCTGAGCCGGCAAATACGGTGAGCAAAAGGACAAACACATTTTTTTTAAAAGGGATAAGGCTAAATGAAAGAAAGAAAGACAGAAAGTGTTGGGTGTGTAGCAGCAGAGATAAGGCTTGAAATGAACGCTGGATTAGGAGCGTTGCCATTGAGTGGGAGTAGAGGGAACATACAGTATTGACTGAAAAATCAGCCTTAAGTCTCATGGGTGGTGTGCACACTAACACACTCTGAGTGAATATTGCAGTGTGCTCATATCAATGGAAGAATTATTCCCTGCCTGCCACTCACTCTGACACACAGAGACAAAGATGCAGTGTGTACGTCTCTGTAGAGGAAACCACCTCTGCAGTGTCGAGACAAGTTCGCAGAAATATGACAATTGCTTTTTTCCTTTGCACGGCATCTTCCATTTCTCTTCTGTCCATCTCTCCCATTCTTTCATTCCCTCCCTGTTGTCTCTGCACATCAAACCCTGGCTCTTGGGTAAATGCATTCACTATTCCAACATTATTCATTGTTCCGAGCTGCAAGACTCCCCCTGTTTTTCTTCCCTTCACCACTTAGTGGCTGTCGGCCCATTTCCTCTCTACATTTTCCTGGTTTGGATGAGAATCTTAATCATTCTTGTGGTGGAGTTTACCCAAATCCCTCACAGTCTTCCTTTTGTGGTTTCATTTGAGAATGATAGCAGTTAATGATTTTATTTTCTTCAGGTTAGCGGTTGATGCGTATAGATACTCAAATCCTATTTAGTCCCTTTTTTAAAACATAATGTTAAAAATTTCTCTTGCTTCAGCCTCTCAGATGAAAATATTTTGTGGTTTTGTTCATTTTCTATGATGTAAACTGAATATTTATTGGATTTGATGTGTGTTTGGATATCAACAGGGTTTTGGGAAATAGTAAAAGACATTCTGTTAGGCCACAATTATCACCTGGCTGTGTATATACACTTCTGAAGAAGTCATATAAGAGATTAAAATGTTTTACATTATCTTTACTTGCATCTGTCTCTGTGTTTCCCTGTAGAGACATCACCTACAGCATCCTGTTTGAAGCAGTGACCACGCTGCTGGTCTTCTTCTCCTATCAGCTCTTCCACAAAGACATCCTCAGAGATGGAATCATCTACCAGCACATCATGAAGGGGAGATGGTAAGAAACATGCTTGTGTTACCACTGACATAGCATGATTTGAGACATGAACTCCAGAAAAAGTATGGAAAATTCCCTTTCACATATAACGATTGCTGCAGGAGATGAAGTGATCACATTTTGGTGGTCAAAGGTCAAAAGGACAAGGTCACATGACCTTGCAGTCTTTTGAACTCAATTTATAAGGAATGTATGTATGGGGTAATTCTAGTTTCAGTTTTGCTGTAGTATGTTATTAACGCTAAACTGTAAAAAAAAAAAAAAAAGTACATTAACTAAATTTCCCTGTGTTCACTGCTATCTGGAATATCAATAAATACAGATAGATGTTGTTGTTGACACAACATGCATCATGAAGTCTATTAGTGCAGTTTAAAGAGGCGGGCAGAAAGAATGGATATTATTTTCTTTGAGGGCTTTCACAGTTGTAAAGCACTGAGTGTTCATCAAGACTAAAAAAACGCTATATAAGTACAGACCATTTATAGCATAAGAGCAACACAAGAGCACTTTGGATTAATTACCACTGAGCTGAAGAAAGGCTTCTACATTAGCAAAATAGATTATAATTAGCTGTGTATAACATTTAAAAAATTTGATATTTCAAATATTTCACAAATACAGGTAAGAGTCTCTAATTGACACATGTGGATCTTCTTGATGACGGTGTAAGTGTTGGTATGTTTTTGAACTAGTTATTGAAACCTTTTTTATTCTCCCCAGTTTGTCTCTAACCAGTCGACTGGTGAAGACCCTGCTCTATAACTTCATCAGGCAGGAGAAGTGTCCACCTCCAGCAACACACATCTTTGAGCCCAAAGCTGAGGGGGGCCTTCTCTATGGCCTGGCATCCGGGGTGGCAAGTACGAGAACACAAATCCTCACACAAGTAAAACACAATGAAATATGGAACATTAATGAAAATGCTGTCATTTGTTTATTTTTACAACCCACAACATATCTTTAAAATGTTTTATATTGATTCTGACACAACATTTTTCTCACCTACTTACTTGCTGAGGTCTTAAGACACACGTATAATTAGAATTGCACTTAGTGGCGCACATACCTCCGCCAAGGGCCAAACTGTGCCCTTAAAATAAAACAGGCCTTATAGCTAAGGGCCACATGAAGTCTCTCAAATACACATCGGTGGTAGTTGTAGGTTTCTCTGCCAATTTGTTACCATACAGTAGCTGAAAAAGCCTACACCCTTTTGAAACCACATTTAAATCCACTGGGTCCAGATTTTTATTTAGATCTGCACAGAATTACTCACACACACACACACTCATTAATATCAGTCCACTAAACATGCGTAATATTTTAAGCAAAATGTTGCAAGCAAAAAAAACCGCCCTATCTCACAATGTTAAAGAAAGTGCTGATTCCTGGATCTGCCCCCTGATCCTTCCCTGACCCATACCGCAACCTTCAAGGTTTAGTGGTAATCCAGCCAGTAGTTTTAGCATAATCCTGCTGACTAGCAGTAAGACAAATGCAGACAAAGACATAACCTCCCCGGCTGAGGTAATGAGCTTTTTGTGTTTTAAGCTGAATGTTTAAAATTGTTTCCTAAACTAAAAGTCTTTTTTCACAGCCTCTGACATGTAACAGTGGTAAAAGCATGGGCGTACATAATGAAAATAATTACTGGGACTTGAATAGAACAGAGGTGCCTTTCCTTCCATGACAAGTCTTATATTCTAACCTCTCTTAACTTTGACCTAGAATCAGTATTTTGTTATTTTATCTTTGGACAACAGTAATAGGCACTGTGGAAGCGGCCATCTTTGCATATGGGTCGGGTGAAATGGACGACAAGATTTGAATTTTTTATGTCAGTTGATATCGATAATTATCAGGATAAATGTCACACTATGATTCATATTAAAGTTTAAAGACTGATTTTTGCTCCTCCTTGAAGGTTGTGGTTTCAGACTCTTCTTTCTGAGCAAAAAATGACAGCAAACACATGAACCAAGTATGTGTTATACCTCCTCACCATGCTTGTATAATGCATAAACCACATGTCAGTATATATTGATCTTTTGTTACATTACTACTGATTAAAATTATATTCTGTATTATAATTTTTTGTTACTTTTACATCTCCCAGGTGTTTTTCTTCCAAAGAGTTCCCAACTTTGTTCAGCTTGTGACCCCCTTAAAATGAAACAACGTGAACTAGTGACCTCTAATCACAGGTTATATATTATCGCCTATAGTGTGGACATTATTGTTGAGTAGGTCAACTAAAAGAAAATTATATATTTAAATGCTTTTAAGGCCCCACGAGACCTGAAATAATAGGAAAAAAATTGACCAAATATGAGGCATATGTGTGAGAGAAATACACGTTCTTCTTCGGTGTCCTTTTAATTATCTAGTGATCCTTACTGAGTGGGATGGTTTTGATTATTTGATCATTGCTTTTGCATTTCGTCCCAGTGATGTCACCACAATCCCCACAGTGAAGCTAGTGAGTTAAAAATGTTCTCATAAATGATTCGATTAAGATCAAATTACAAAATAAGACCCAGACTGTAAAAATAGAGTTGTTTTCAGTCAGTTGTTTTCATTTTTCCTTGGAGCCAAAGAGTGAGAGTTGTGTTCAAACAGAGGAACAAAAGTGTGATCCACGCTGACGGGCATGACAGCGTAGATGACAGGTGTGTGTGTGTGTGTGTGTGTGTGTGTGTGTGTGTGTGTGTGTGT